TTGCAGCTTTTTAAAAGATACAGATAAAAAACTGCCCAGGAAATGGCATATAGGACAGAGTCAATGGAAATTTGAAACATGGAACTTTGGTTTCGTCTTCCCAGGGTGTCATGGGCAGGTTTGTGTCCCCAGCACTGATGTGCCAGCAGTGAGCACTTGCAGACAGGGGAGCTCACTCCAGGCTCCGTGTTCAGAGTTTTTACTGGGACTCCATCGCCAAGGAATGACTGACGGTCCATACTGCTGATCTCAGGCTCAAACCTCTCTAGAGGTGCAGCTGATACTGCATGACTAAAACCCTCATCATGATTCACATCATTCTTGTGGCCCAAAGTTTCTACTGTACATCACACTGTTGACATCTTATCAGGCTGGCCCAAGACCCTCACATAAACAATAGCATTTTTCTCAGTGTCAGCCTTTGACACTCTTAGTCACTCTTTGTCAGATGAATCAACCTAAGGGTTTAGAGAGGAGCTCCCAGGAAACAAGGGCAAAGTCCAGACTTCCGTTTGAACGAGGCTGAGCCCTTCACTACACGGACCAGTGGCTGGTTTTGCTTGACAAGGCTCCCTTATTGTAACTTCACAATAAGAAAATGTGAAGTGACAAACATTGGTCAAGCATTTATCTTCTTCTCTTCTTTCTCTGAAAAAAAAATTTTTTTTGCATTATCTTCATTAATTCTTATGCAACACCACGAGGTAGACACTAGTTTGAATGGCATTATGGAGAGAAGTGAAATAAGGCTTACCTAAAGATTCAGGGCTAGTGACAGTAGAGTGGGAATATTTAAAAGGGCTACATGACTTCAAGGTTCATACTTAACCCACTTGTTTGAAAGATACCAATAATTCTTTTCTAAGCCCTTTTATTTTTTTGGTTGCATTGCTGAGGGGATATTTTTTAGCAATTGATTTTTTTTGGTTGTGAGGCTGAGCGTCTATTTGTCCACTGTAACTACTTAATTATAAATCCTTTTGCTTAAGTGATATTTAAGCATTAAAAAAGTCTCCATTTTGCCTTTTTCAGTAGACACTTCAAAGTTTTTTTTTTCTATGTAGACACCAACATATATAAATCAAATGTCATGCATAGTGACTAGCAAGCAGTATTCTTTGAGACAGAATTGGCAAATAAAACTGTAAGATATTTAAAGTATATAACATGAGAATTTGATAGATGTATATATTATTTTTAAAATTTACTTTTAATTTCTTTAAAATGTGCTGTACAGCCATGTGAATCAGCCATAACTGTACATATACCCCTCCCTCTTGAGTCCCCCACCACGCTCCCCATCCCACTTCTCCAGGTGGTCACACAGCACGGGGTGAGCTTCCTGTGTCATACAGCAGCTTCCCGCTAGCTGTCTGTTAACATTTTACAGATGATAATGTACTGTGTTTCAATGCGACTCTCTCAATTCAACTTACCCTCTCCTCCCATGTTGTGTCCACAAACATGTACTCTGTCTGTGTTTCTCTTCCTGCCCTGAAAATCGGTTAACCAGTGCCATTTTTCTGGATTCCATATATACATTCACATACAATATTCGGTTTTCTCTTTGTGACTTACTTCACTCTACATAACAGGCTGTAGATTCATCCACCTCAGCTCAAGTGACCCAAATTCGCTTCTTTTTAAGGTTAATTAAAATTCTCGTATATAGATGTACCACAACTTTATCCATTCCTCTCTCAATGCACATCTAGGTTGCTTCCATGTCCTGGCTATAGTAAACACTATTGCAATGAATTTTGGGGTACACGTGTCTGTTTGAATTATGGTTTTCTCAGGGTGTGTGCCCAATAGTAGAATTTCTAGGTCATACGGTAGTTTTCTTAGGACTTCCCTGATGGCTCAGCAGCTAAAGAATCTGCCTGCGATGCAGGAGACACAGGCGATGGTTCAATCCGTGGGTCAGGAACCATCTCTGGAGGAGGAAATGGCAACCCACTCCAGTATACTTGCCATTTCCACCTACCCCTCTGCCATAGTGCTGACCCTCATTTACACATATATTAGAAAAGACTTTTCCTTTCTCTTAACTTAAGTAGCATAGCTATCATCTGACATGTTTACCTTTTATTTTTTGAAGGAACATAGGTAAGTTCCACTCTCTTAGACAGCACCAATTATACAACACAATTTTATCAGTTATTGTCATCATGCTACACATTAGATCCTCAGACGTTATAATTTTCGTATGTTAAAATGTATAACCTTTTACAAACCCATTCCTATTTCCTCCACTCTAAAGCCCTGGTAATAACTTTTCTTTGCCATTTCTGAGTTCCATGTTTTTTTTTTTTTTGTTCTTTTTTTAAGATTTCTTACTATTGAGATCATACAATGTCTGTCTTTCTCTAACTTATTTCACTTAGCATAAGGCCCTCCAATTTCATCCATGCTACCACATATGGAAGAATTTCTTTCTTTTTTAATGGCTAAATGAAATTCATAGATATATTAATAAACATCACATTGTTTTAATCTCTTCACCTTCTGAGAGATACTTAGATTATTCCTATAATACATTGTTTCTAGGCTACTGTGATGGAGAAGGAAATGGCAACCCACTCCAGTACTCTTGCCTGGAAAATCCATGGACGGAGGAGCCTGGTAGGCTGAAGTTTATGGGGTCGTTAAAAGTTGGACATGACATCACTTCACTTTTCACTTTCATGCATAAGAGAGGGAAATGGCAACCCACTTTAGTGTTCTTGCCTGGAGAATCCCAGGGACTGGGGAGCCTCGTGGTCTGCCATCTATGGGGTCGCACAGAGTCGGACATGACTGAAGCTTCTTAGCAGGCTACTGTCAATATTGATGCAGTGAATATGGGAGTACACATTTCTCTTCGAAATAATTATTTCATTTCCTTTGAATATATATTCAGAAATGAATATATCCAGAATTGTGAAATTTCATGAGAAACTACCTGAAGGTATTCCATGGGAGTTGCAACAATATACATTCCTACCAATAACCATTAAGATCTCCATTTTCTACACATCCTCATCACACTTATTTCTTACTTTTTGGTAAAAGCCATTTAAACAGGAGTGAGATGGTTTGTGCTGTACTTTTGATTTCCACTTCCTTGATAGTGATGTTGAGCATCTTGTCATATACTTCTTGGGCATTCTGTATGTCTTATTTGGGGGGAAAATGGTCTATTCTCTAAAAAATAGCATGCATTTTGTATATTGTATTTGAAAAAATAAAACTCAGGTACTTACCCATACACCAAAAGAAATTATAGAAGTAAGAATAATTCCATTTATAATTGCATCAAAAAATTAAAATACTTAGAAATAAATTTAAGCAAGGTGTTGAAAGACCTATGTATGAAAATATTCAAGACACTCACGAAAGAAATGTTTAAAAGACAAAAAAGGAAACATGTTTCATATTTATTGACTGGCACGAAAACAGACACATAGAGAGCAGAAAAAGAAAGCCAGAAAGAAACGCACATTCATATATTGTTGGTTAGCTTATGAAAAAGGAGCAAAGAATATCCAGTGGGGAAAGGACAAGCTTTTCAATAATGGTACTGGGAAAACTGGATAGTGCTATGAAAAATTGAGGCTGTGCCCCTGTCTTTTAGCATACACAGAAATCAACTGAAAAGGGATTAAAAACTTGATCATAAGACTTGAAGCGATTAAACAGCTAGAAGAAAACATTGAGGTAATCTTCTTGCCTTTGCAATGAGTTTTTGGGTTTCACACTAAAAGAAAAGCAACAACTGCAGAAACAAACATGTGGGGTCACAACAAACTCCAAAGAAAGGAACATCAACAAAATCAAATGGCAATTTAGACATTGACAGAAGATATTTCCAAATCATATATTTCATAAGGGCTAATATCCAAAAATACATGATACATACAACTCAAGGGCAAAAACACCAAGTAATCCAAATTTTTAATGGAGCATAAGAAAAGTAAGAGTTTCAATAAATCTGCAGATTAGACTGTAGATGACAGACACAACAAGGTTTTCCTGCTAGAGCAACAAAAGCCTGTGCCTTCCTGACATTACTTTCTTCATCTCCACTCACTTGTTTGACAATTACAGTTCACAGTGTACATTCTTCAGTCAATAACAGTGAGTTATAACATGTACTAAGAACAGACTCACAGGGGAAAAAAAAAAACAAAACAAAACAAAACTAATATTTGCATACTTACTAATGAGGCATATCAAAAGGAAGGTAATTTCCAGAGTTTACCCCTCCATTGTTTTCTATATTTCAATCGAAATTGAGCCACCTAATAAGGATAATGAGTTAAGAAACCTCACTAATTTATCAATAGAAAATCGGTTTCACATGGGAGCATTAATGGATTATAATTTGGGGGTAATTTATTACTAGTGTTGAAACTTGAGTCCTTTTGATTCTCTACTGCATCGGGTTAATAATTTATTATAAATATTAATACCAACATAGGGACTCAGAGTACTAAAGTGATAGTGAATACATAAAGACATAGAATATAGTAGGCAAAAAGTGAAAGTGTGGGAAGTCAGCAACGGTAGTAAAGGGCAGTATTGCCTGGAGAGGAAGGAAGGTTCTCAAGGTTTTTGAAACACCAAGAACCAGCCAGATGTGAAGAATTAGCTTAATTTGTAAACCTGAAACTCTACCAGAAGAAATTTCAGTTCGTAAAAATATTACGATGCTAAAATCCACAGTTTAGACAGAGAATAGGATAGGGTAGGGTACACAGACATTCAAAACTCTTCATTGCTTAGGGCATCAGGCACTCAAGGAACACCCTCACTGAAGTCTTTCTCTATAGCTGAACCTACAGGTACCAGCATAGAGAAAGAGATAGCTCTACTCCACAAGCAGTAGAAGCCTTTTTTATGGCCTCGTGGCTTTCTTTAAGAGGCATTCGATGCAGCAGATTTCCTCCATCCCATCCCACCCGGCTGACTCCCCACAGTAAACAGGAATCCTAATCCTGGGATCATTCTGCAGTCCCATGGCTTCAGCTCCCAGCTTCCGTGGACACCAGTGGACTTACAACCCTGTCCGAGGTATGAAAGGCAGCAGCATGGCTTGTCTATGTGGTTCTCACTCCGTTCAGACGGTCACAGGTTAGTTCGTTCACTCCACAACAGCTTCAAATGACTCCCCCATTCCAGTGGACGGCCATGGATGCGGGGATCTCTCCCCTGCACTTCAGCTCCCTCACCCCCAGGTGCAGGCTGGTCCCACGTGCTCTCCTCCTTCTTTCCCCTTGCTCCTTGTCCCTTCTTTCCTTTGTCCTACTGAGTTCTGTGTGGATCCGGATATTCCTTCTCAGTAGTCATGGAGTCCTGCCAGTATTCACCTGGTCTTCTGTGAGAACTGCTGTGTCTTTAGACCTTCTTGATGCATCGGTGGAGAGAGGTGTACCCCACTTCCAACTACCCAATCGTCATTTTGTCAACCCCCATTTGTGCATGTATTAGAAACGAGTTTCCCCTTCTATTAAGTAACATTGCCATCACCACACATGTTTAACTTTTGGTTCTTGAGGAGAACACAGGTAAGTTACACTTTTTTCACTTGAGTCGATCATTCAGTCATGTCCGACTGTTTGTGACCCCATGGACTGTGGCACACCAGGCTTCCCTGTCCATTCGAGACACCCAGACCTTACTCAAACTCATGTCCGTTGAGTTGGTATGCCACTCGATGATGTCCACTCTCTCAGAGATTATTTTTTTGAGATTCCTTATAATTGAGATCACATTGTGTTATTCTTTCTCTGACTTAGTTTATGTAATGTAATTCCCTCCAGCTTCTTCCATGTTGCAATAATTGGAAGGATTTCTTTTTTTCTCTAATGGCTATATAATATTTACCTATATATGTCACACTACATTGTTTTAATCCATTCATCTGGTGAAAGATACCTAGGTTGTTCCTATACCAAGGCTACTGTGAATAATGCTGCAATGAACATGAGAATACAGATTTCTCTCGAGACAATGATTTAATTTCCTTTGACTATATATCCAGAAGTGGGATAATGGATCACATAACAGTTCTCTTTGAAATTTCTTGAGGAACCTACACAGTATTTTTCCATGGAAGTTGTACCAGTATACATCCCTACCAACAGTGCAAAACCACTCCTTTTTCTCCACATCCTCAACAAGATTTCTCATTTGTTACATTTTTGGTACTAGCCATTCAAATAGGTCGGAGCTGATATTTTTGTACTTTTGATCTGCATTACCTTTGATTATTAACGATGCTGAACATCTTGTCACATACCTCTTGACCATCTATATGTCTTATCTGTGGACAAATGTCTATTCTTTAAAGATGTAGCATACATTAAGTTTACCATGTTCCAATATACAAAACTCTGTTGTCTACCTATATATCAACAAGGAACTATCAGAAATTTGAATAAAGAAAACAAGCCCATTTCTATTGCATCACAAAAAGATAAAACTCTTAGAAATAAACTTAAGCAAGGTGTTGGAAGATTTTACAGAAAACCTTTAAGACATTGATCTGGTGAACGAATTGGCAACCCACTCCAGTATTCTTGCCTAGAAAATCCCATGGATGGAGGAGGCTAGTGTCCATAGTTGCAAAGAGTCACAAAGGTCACAAAGAGGTGGGCATGACTGAGCGACTTCCCTTCCCTAAGACTTTGGTAAGAGTAATTTAAAAAGAGCTAAAGATATGTAAAGTTAGGTTGTCTCTTCAATGTGTTTCTTGAGATAGCATTTGTATTACTATAAACTTCCCTCTTAGAACTGCTCTTGTTGCATCATATAGGTTTTAGATCATCATGTTTTCATTGTTCTCTGTTTCTAAGAATGTTTTGATTTCCCTTATTTCTTTGGTAATCTGTTTATTATTTATTTTTTATTTTTTAATTTTTTTAAGTTTTTTTTTTTCATTTATTTTTCTTAGTTGGAGGCTAATTACTTCACAACATTGCAGTGGGTTTTGTCATACATTGACATGAATCAGCCATGGAGTTACATGTATTCCCCATCCCTATCCCCACCTCCCACCTCCCTCTCCACCCAGTTCCTCTGGGTCTTCCCAGTGCACCAGGCCCGAGCACTTGTCTCATGCATCCCACCTGGGCTGGTGATCTGTTTCACCCTTGATAATATACTTGCTGTTCTCTCAAAACATCCCACCCTCACCTTCTCCCACAGAGTCCAAAAGTCTTTCTGTACATCTGTGTCTCTTTTTTCTGTTTTACATATAGGGTTATCATTACCATCTTTCTAAATTCCATATATATGTGTTAGTATGCTGTAATGTTCCTTATCTTTCTGCCTTACCTCACTCTGTATAATGGGCTCCAGTTTCATCCATCTCATTAGGACTGATTCAAATGAATTCTTTTTAACAGCTGAGTAATATTCCATGCTGTATATGTACCACAGCTTCCTTATCCATTCATCTGCTGATGGGCATCTAGGTTGCTTGCATGTCCTGGCTATTATAAACAGTGCTGCGATGAACATTGGGGTGCACAGGTCTCTTTCAGATCTCGTTTCCTCAGTGTGTATGCCCAGAAGTGGGATTGCTGGGTCATATGGCAGTTCTATTTCTAGTTTTTTAAGTAATCTCCACACTGTTCTCCATAGTGGCTGTACTAGTTTGCATTCCCACCAACAGTGTAAGAGGGTTCCCTTTTCTCCACACCCTCTCCAGCATTTATTGCTTGTAGACTTTTGGATAGCAGCCATCCTGACTGGCGTGTAATGGTACCTCATTGTGGTTTTGATTTGCATTTCTCTGATAATGAGTGATGTTGAACATCTTTTCATGTGTTTGTTAGCCATCTGTATGTCTTCTTTGGAGAAATGTCTGTTTAGTTCTTTGGCCCATTTTTTGATTGGGTCATTTAATTTTCTGGAATTGACCTGCAGGAGTTGCTTGTATATTTTTGAGATTAATCCTTTGTCTGTTGCTTCATTTGCTATTATTTTCTCCCAATTCGAGGGCTGTCTTTTCACCTTGCTTATAGTTTCCTTTGTTGTGCAAAAGCTTTTAAGTTTCATTAGGTCCCATTTGTTTGTTTTTGCTTTTATTTCCAATATTCTGGGAGGTGGGTCATAGAGGATCCTGCTGTGATTCATGTCAGAGAGTGTTTTGCCTATGTTCTCCTCTAGGAGTTTTATAGTTTCTGGTCTTACATTTAGATATTTAATCCATTTTGAGTTTATTCTTGTATATGGTGTTAGAAAGTGTTCTAATTTCATTCTTTTACAAGTGGTTGACCAGTTTTCCCAGCACCACTTGTTAAAGAAGTTGTCTTTTTTCCATTGTATATCCTTGCCTCCTTTGTCGAAGATAAGGTGTCCATAGGTTCGTGGATTTATCTCTGGGCTTTCTATTCTGTTCCATTGATCTATATATTTCTGTCTTTGTGCCAGTACCATACTGTCTTGATGACTGTGGCTTTGTAGTAGAGTCTGAAGTCAGGCAGGTTGATTCCTCCAGTTCCATTCTTCTTTCTCAAGATTACTTTGGCTATTCAAGGTTTTTTGTATTTCCATACAAATTGTGAAATTATTTGTTCTAGTTCTGTGAAAATTACCATTGGTAGCTTGATAGGGATTGCATTGAATCTGTAGATTGCTTTGGGTAGTATAGCCTTTTTGACAATATTGATTCTTCCAATCCATGAACACGGTATGTTTCTCCATCTGTTTATGTCCTCCTTGATTTCTTTCATCAGTGTTTTATAGTTTTCTATGTATAGGTCTTTTGTATATTTAGGTAGATATACTCCTAAGTATTTTATTCTTTTTGTTGCAATGGCGAATGGTATTGATTCCTTAATTTCTCTTTCTCTTTTCTCATTGTTATTGTATATTAATGCAAGGGATTTCTGTGTGTTAATTTTATATCCTGCAACTTTACTATATTCGTTGGTTAGCTCTAGTAATTTTCTGGTAGAGTCTTTAGTGTTTTCTGTGCAGAGGATCATGTCATCTGCAAACAGAGAGAGTTTCACTTCTTCTTTTCCTATCTGGATTCCTTTTACTTCTTTTTCTGCTCTGATTGCTGTGGCCAAAACTTCCAAAACTATGTTGAATAGGAGTGGTGAGAGTGGGCACCCTTGTCTTGTTCCTGATTTCAGGGGAAATGCTTTCAATTTTTCACCATTGAGGGTAATGCTTGCTGTGGGCTTGTCATATATAACTTTCATTATGTTGAGGTATGTTCCTTCTATTCCTGCTTTCTGGAGAGTTTTAATCGTAAATGGGTGTTGAATTTTGTCAAAGACTTTCTCTGCATCTATTGAGATAATCATATGGTTCTTATATTTCAATTTGTTAATGTGGTGTATTACATTGATTGATTTGTGGATATTAAAGAATCCTTGCATTCCTGGGATAAAGCCCACTTGGTCATGGTCTTTGGTAATCTGTTTATTATTTAGAAATGTGTTGCTGAATCTCCTTGTGTTTTCGTTCTTTAAAGTTGTTTTTTTTTTTTCCCTGTAATCTATATCTAGTCTCATAGTGTTGTGGTCAGAAAAAATGTTTGATATAATTTCAATTTCCTTAAATTTACTGTGGTTTGATTTGCACCCAAGAAGAGGAAAATGTTCCATGTGCACCTGAGAAGAAAGTGTACTCTGCATTTGTATGGAATGTGCTGAAGATATCAATTAGGGCTTCTTGCTCTAATATTTCCTTTTAGACTTATTTTCCTTATTAATTTTCTGTTTTGTTGATCTGCCCATTGGTACAGGTGCAGTGTTAACATGCCCTACCTTTATTGTGTTATTAGCGAGGGTGGGCTGACTTGAGAGAATGGCATTGAAAGATGTATATTATCACATGTGACATGAATCACCAGTCCAGGTTCGATGCATGATCCAGGTTGGCTGGGGCTGGTGCACTGGGATGACCCAGAAGGATGGGATGGGGAGAGAGGTGGGAAGACGGTTCAGGTCGGGAACACATTTATACCTATGGCGGATTCCTGTCAATGTATGGCATAACCAAAACAATATTGTAAAGTAATTAGCCTCAAATTAAAATTAACAAAATAAAATAAAATAGTAATAGCAACATAGAAACACATAGCACTCAAGTTACAGTAGATTGAGAAAGAGAAAGCTTATGAGGCAGGAAGTGAAACAACAGAAAATTAGCAATAGTATCAAATGAAGGGGCAATATTGAAAAGAAGTGGCAGAAAGAAAGCATAGTTCTGTAATTTTTTGGAGACAACACGAACAAGCCAGATGGGAGCCAACCAGCTTAAGCTGTATTCTAGAAACCTCACCAGAAGGAAAATGAAGTTCATAAAAATATGCTGATGCTCAACGTCAAAATCCAGACAGTAAGCGAATAGGGTATGGTATATATAGATACTGAGAACTACTCAGAGAGGTAGACATGGAAGCAAACACACTAGTGAGCATCAGAAAAATCAAAGCACAAAAGGGTCTGAAAAGTAAATCATAAACAGACTTGGTAGTCTGATCAAAAGAATAAGAGAATCAAATTAGACAACCAAAATAGAAAGACTTGTGCACATGATAGAACCAGAGAATGCTCAGGAGAGAAAGTTTCGTACCTAGTGGACCAGCGAACAGAAACCTCCAGCATCAGGAACAAAAACCCTAAACAGAACTCATGACTGTGCGCTTCTGGGAACAGCCTCACTTTCAAAGTTTGGGCACTATACCACTTAAAGGTGAACACAGACAAGGATTATAGCTTGCTATGACAGTGAATCACAGACAATAATATTTGTGAGTTTACTTTTCTCATTCAACTATAAAGTTAATGAATCACTAACCAAGGATAATTGACACCGTCAGTTTGCAGTCAGATCCTCTTTAGTCATAGAATGGACATCTGAATCTGTTATATGATCCCCAATAACAGTTTTAATAATTAAATTTATTGATGTTTAATTGAAGGGTAATTGCTTTACAATACTGTACTGCTTTCTGCCAAACATCAGCATGAATCAGCCATAGTTTTACCTATGTCCCTTCGCTCTTGAACCTCCTTCCACCTTCCTTCCCATCGCAGCCCTCGAAGCTGTTACAGAAAAATATGGAAGGCTTCACAAATTTGTGTGTCATCCTTGGGCAGGGGCCATGCTAATCTTCTCAGTATTATTCCAATTTTCTAACGTATGTGCTACCAAAGCAAACACACAAGTAACACTTTAACACAATAAAAAATCATATAGTTAGTCATCTACCAACAAATGGTCAATTACATTAAGAATTAGGGTATTCTGTTATATTTACTACCACTTATAAAATTGAATTTTATAAGGTCCAACATTCCATGTAGGAATTATGCATATATTTATTCATAACATATGTATACATGCACAGAATATATACAAACAAATATGTCTATGTTATACAAGCTATTATTCTCCTTGCCTGTCACAATAAGCTCTTTAGTTGATGAGGGAGATAGTCCCAAATTTGTCCAACTTATATGTCTTCTTTTTGAGAACCACTTCTTTGATTTTCATCACCTTATTTTAAATAACCATTTTATTCTTAGATACCATACCCCTTTAAAGTAACTAAGAGCAGAGAAAACCTAGTAAATGCTGATGTCTTATCCTTCATTAAATTACCACAATTCTGGTAAACTGGAAAAAGAATTATGTTCAGATCTCATTGTTGCTTAGTCACTTCGGTCGTGTCCGACTCTGTGCGACCCGATCCCTGAGATTCTCCAGGCACGAACACTGGAGTGGTTGCCATTTCTTTCGGATCTCATTAGGAGGATAAAATTCCTGTTTTATCAGTTCTCTTGTCAAAACTCAATTCTTGCTAACTTCAGTTTTAAATTCTGCTTACTTACAAAGGACGGACAGGAAAAAAAAAATTAAAATCACGCTTGCAAGAGTCTATAATTTTATGCTTCCGTTGGCCAAAAGTAGGGCCAGGAATAATTTCTGAAATATTACAATACATAATGGAAGCCTGAAGGTCTAGTTCTCCTACTAAAGAGGAGATGTTTGGAGATGGTTCAAAAACTAAGCCTCATGGGTTGTCAGGATGTGCTCCTGACCAGACAGATGAATTTTCTCATTATAACATCAAAGCCAGGAAAGGCAGACCTTGTTCACAGAGCCAGTGATGGGGTCCTGGGTGCTGACCAGGTAAGATTCATGGATTACCATCTGGAGATTTACTTGCCATTGTCTCGAAGAAACAAATGCAATGAGAAGATTAAAGATGCATAAAAGTAGAAGACCTGTCAAGGTGCCTAGAATCAAGGCTAGCCAGGAAAACCAGACCCCATACTGATAATTGTCAGAGACTTTAACGCTGAGTGTTTTATAGACAGAGCAGAACAAGTGGATAAAACCAGTGTTCTAGGGACACTGCTGTTTTGCAGTCAAAGACAAAATATTTTTCACGTTAAGCAGAGTCATCACAGCTCCTGATGTGGTCCTGGTTACACACATGCAGACCGAGAGCCCACAGGCGTGTGTGATGTGACATCAGGAAGTGAACAGATGATTGTATTGGTGCCCAGTCACCTCCATCTGCTAATAATGGGACCTGGGGAAAATTATTTGCCCTCTCCAAGTCATTGCATCTTCATTAACATAATTTGATGATCATAGTGAAGATGAACGCTATCTCACAGGGCTACTGTGAAACACACATTTTAAGATGTTTTAAAGCTTTTGGGTAAGTATCAAAGCCCTGCATGGGGTCACGAAGCTGAGTTAGCAGCCCCAAGGCACGGTGTCCTTTTTCTCTGAGTCTTCTCTCTGTACTCAATAGGAGCGATCAGTCAGTCATGTGTTACTCTTACCCCAGCATGATGGTAAATCACACAGATCAACTGTACACTTCTTGTCATTTCCATGTCTGAAATTCAAGCACTGGTCAGTGTAGAGTGAAAAAATTACAAACTCCTAGGTGGCCTCACTGTTCAGAGTCTGCAGAATCCCAACATTAAACTGTCTTAAAAGAATGGCCTAAACACTCTGGCTCAGAATTAAGTTCCAAATATTTGCAGAGCACAGAAGTACTTCTGGGAGCAATACAAAAATGCAGGGAGTAACCTACTTCTCCAACTATCTATTTGTGCAAATATCATCATCCATCTAAATTTATACAGAAGGCGCTCCTTCTTCCCTACCCAGCACTACAGCTCCAATTCCTGCTCAGAGCAACAGGGAAAGAAAAGGCTTCCCTCCACAGGATGGATTTGATAAGCTCAGGTGACTAGATCATCTCAGAATGGCTCATGTTTTTATTTTAGCAGGGTCCTGCCTGCTCCTGCTGCTGGTCCTATCAAATCTGCTCCTGTGCCAAGGCAACGTATGCCCATCCTGCGGTCCTGATGTGTTTGGTGTCCCCCTGAAGTTCCTTAGAAAAACATTTAGCCGTGTCTCCAGGCTGTCGCATGACATGCATAACCTTTCCACAATAATGTTCAATGAGTTTGTAAGTACTTTGGTGGTGGTGGTTTAGTTGCTAAGTCGTGTCCGAATCTTGTGAACTCATGGACTGTAGCCCGCCAGGCTCCCAGAAGGAACCTTCGTGTAAGTGACTGGGCCATACTGTCCTTTCAACAAGAGCGCTGCATCAGCCGAACTTCAAATAACACACTCTCTAGGTTAAAAACGCCGTCAGCTCATAAGATGTAGAAATCGAAGAAAGGACCAGTTATGTGAAAGATTCCTAAGAAGTACAATAACTTTTTCAATTTCCTTTCATTCATTTTCTTTCTTTAAATTTCCAAAATAAGTGATTTTGTATTTGTCAGCTAGGAATGCCATAAAAGAATACAATAGACTCAGTGGAATAAACATGAGAAATTTATTTCCTCCCAGTTCTGGGAGCTAGAAGTCCCAGATCAGGGCACCAGAAGGTGAGGCTCTGCTGAGAACTATTTCTTCCCAGGATGGCTTCTCTGTGCATCCTCACACAGGGTGGGGACGGGGGGAGGAGGACAGACAGAAGAAAGGACACACAGACACAGAGCCAGTAGAGAAAATACTTGGTGTTTCACTTCATGAAGACACTACATCTAATGGATGAGTGTTGCACCCTAAGTACTCATTTAACCCTAACGGGCTTGGCTGGTGGCTCAGATGGTAAAAAGACATGGGTTCTATCCCTGGCTCTGTAAGATTCCCTGGAGAAGGGAACAGCAAGCCTCTCCAGTATTCTTGCCTGAGAAATTCCATGGACAGAGGATTCTGGTGGGCTATAGACCATGGCGTGCCAAAAAGTCAGAACCCTTTTCAAAACACAGCACTTTGGCAGTTCCGGCTCTAACACATGAATTTGAAGAACACACATTCAGTCCATAATACTATCTGACATAAAGTAGTTTTACGTGGGACTGGGGAAAAGGAAGCATGTTGGTTTTCTGGTCCTTTAGTGTCTCTCTGGGCTTTCTTCTCCAGGATCAGAGTAAATAGCCAATAAGTGAGAACTGCTCTGCAGTGAACTGGGTGGATGGAACATGTTAAACAAAGCTGAATCCCGGTCACAAAAACGAATACTAGTAGTTTTTTTAATGCTACATATTATTGTTTTAAGATTTGCAGTGAATAGGTTTCCAGCTACAATAGAAGGGGAGTTTACAATTGGAAACAATTATTCTCTTTCTGATGAAGGTATTTGAAAGTTGTATGTTAATTCTTTTAGGTCAATCACAGAGCACACAGTAGAGCAGACAGCTAGTAAAAGGTGGTGCTAAACGTTTCTATTATATTCACGTAGTTCTTTGTAAGCAATAGCTTTGGTTTCATCCTCCATTTTTGACTGTCCATTCTTTTCCAACTCTTCCAAGTAATCTCTTCAAATGTTCATAACTTCTGCTAAAGATTAGTTTTTCTCTATCAAAGTGCTAGCTAGATTTCTCTACTCTTATTATTCTCAGTCCATTGCTTAGTATTTCCTATAACTTTATGCTATGTTTTTCTGACATACCATTTTGTCACCATAAACAACATTGTATTCTGTACCTGGGATGAACAATAAGCTTTTTGGTGAGCATGTTCAGAGATAAGTCAGAGCATTACTGTATTACTCCTTATAAGGGAATATATTGGCCCCTACCCACAGTAAACTTGAGATTAAATGGTTAAATATAGGTGCAAGCATGCATTCTAAGTCACATCTAAGAGCTGGACACAACTCTTTGCAACCCTACTGACTGTAGCCCAACAGGCTCCTCTGTCCATAGGATTTGCCAGGTGAGAGTCAGGAGTGTGGTGCTGTAACCTCTTGCAAGGGATGCTCCTCACCTAGGAATCAAACCTGAATCATCTTATATCTCCTGCATTGGCAGGAATGTTCTTCACCACTACTGTCACCTGGGAAGCACCAAGTATGGTACAAAAGTACTACATTTGTTTCAAATACTAAAAAAAAATTTTAAAAGATAGTGATCAAATACAGAAGGGAAAAGTTTGGACTTAGAAAAGATAGATGTAAAATCATCTTTATAGAGACAATATATAGAAAACGTAGGAAAAGAATGACTTTCAAATTTTTTGATGCCCTCAGTTAAAAAATTACACAAATAAGAAGCATGTTAATGTTCTGGTAATGGGCTCATCTACTGAATGCCCAACAACCCTAACTATTTGCCTGATAACTTTTAGGATGAAAAGTATTCCCAGAGTAAGCCTGAGTATATCAATGCCACCAGTGACTGCCACACCAATACCCTCCATGCTCCTGAAGAAAGAGAAAAAGCCCAACAGATGAACGTGAGTCTTTCACCTGGGTTTTTCATTGGATCAGATGAGACAGTATTTAGCTTACCAGGCTTCAGATTATTAGAGGTAATGGTAACTGTACATGCAGAAAATGGTGGAGGAATTGTAAGCAGTTGAAGAGAAATTATATTATGTAGTTTTTGAAACATGAGTGAAATCAAGGGATGACTAAAGAGCTGTAGTAGCAAAACAAATAACAAATTTACAAATTGTCCATGTAGACAAGTTTAGTTCAAGCAATGCATTAGACACAGGATTGCAGCTGTTATTCTGTACAAAAACAAGAAATGAATGGGAACTTCCATGTTTAAAACATAAGATTGCAAGTTTCATGAATGTGTAAGAAACACACCCCAGTTTTGTGTACTCCCTGTTACTAGTGACTTGTATGTGGGAGTCCTATACTGCACCCCTGAGCCAGTGCAACTGCCTTTCAGTGCTCTCCTGATTCTGCTTCTACTTCTCTGATATCTCCTTCATTCATCATTCTCAATGACTCCTCTGTCACCTTTTTTTTTAAATTTATGTTTCCCCCACAGTGGCCTATATAACATTGCTTTGCTCTCAAGGCCACAACAATTGGCTCTGTTCTGAGGACAACACAGTTTACATATCAAGCCTCAATCATTTATGGCAGCTCCAAATTGTCACCGTTATAATCTCTCCTTTCTGATTTCCTGCATTGTCCTTCATCCTAACATTTTAAAAAATATTTTGACATGCATCCCCCCTTAAAATTCTATCTTTTCTCTCTACAACTCTCTTAATGATATCAGCATTCTTTTCTTCTGTTAAGCTCATTAATAATGAGGATGATCAAGTAAAGGAAAAGGTCAAAGAACAGGAGGAGGAGGGATTTTTCAATAAGCTTGAATTTAAAGTTTATTGAGAGTTACTACATGGCCATACATTTTACTAAGCACTTTATGTGCATTACTATATTTAATCCTACTCAGTTCTCTGTTCTTTTCCACTAAAACAGTTCATGGTTGTAAAGAAATCAAGCATATTAACTAGAGATCTTCAGTCCCCAGGATTTTCATGCTGAATTCTAATACTAGTAGTGAATCTGGGGGGAAAACCCTCCATTGTGAATCCCACTGATGCTGTTACTAAAGACAACGCTGTGCCATTTCTGCCTAGACACATGTCAACAAGACAGACTTTTCTGATACCATCATGGGGGCTGGTGTTGGGATCAACTGAGGAAAGAAAGCCTGTTTAGGAATGTCATGTCTTCTTCATTGTCTCTTTGTTGTAATATAAAACAAATTACCAATCAAAAATCAATATGAATGACTCATCTAATTCATTAATACGAAAGAATCACTGGGTGACAGTGATGTGGGCACAGGTAGAATGCCCCTTTCCTGGGTCAGGTACTGCCGGCACATACTGACTTGTCATAAAACACTTAGATTTCTCTCACACAAATATAAATCATCAAAGAAGTCACTGAATGGTTGGTAGAATTTCAGTTGAAAAAGAAAATTCATGTTATAAATTAGAACTCATCAGAAGAATTAATTCCTAAAATAACCTAGATTTTTAATAATTCAGTGAAGTGTGAACTAATAGGTTACATTTTATAATTTTGCATCTTTTACTGTCTTCAAAAATCTGTGCATACACATATGAATAACCAAAAGTCTTTTAGGTCAGCTGCTCTGAGCAAAGATCACATGTTACCCAAACCAATGAATTATGATTATTTTAATGTGACTGTTTCTTATGTTTTCTTAGAATGAAGAACTTACCAAGTGGACACTCATGTTACAGTACCTCTGGATTGCTCCTTTGTTTGATCTAGCCCATGAGCTGCAGATTAAGAAAGACCTCACAGATACTATCATATCAAGTGCCTTAGAGAATATTAAAAAATCATACCAACTTCAAGCAATTTTAGAGAGGCGATTCAGCCAGGTGAGCATACTGCAGAGGGCTTTCTTGCTTTGTTCATGAATGAAAGAGTTGACCTCTGTAATGCATAAGGAGTTTTGAAATATCTCATTTTGTAAGAAAAAGATTCATGACTTCTATATGCTAGACTGCAACTACATAAAGCAGGAGCCTAGTCATTCATAGTGATAGGTTCTATTGTAAAGGAATCAGAATTTCACTGCAATTATTGACATGTGCAGCCTTCCCTACATTGCACATGATTCCACCAAAAGCTTGCCTCTTCTTGGGCACAAATGGTTGAAATATTTTAAGAGTAAGAGAACTAGAGAACAGAATGTCCAAGCTCAGCATTTTCCTCAAAGTATCCCAGGACATATGTTCTTGAAGTTCCACTTGTCTTTCTCTGTTCTCCTCAAATCAAAGGATGAGAGTGGGAAGGAAGAAAAGAGAAAGTTAAAACTAAACTTGAGTTATGTTTCTACTTTTTAGATTCCTAATTGTTTTCTCATAGGCTGGCTCCAAAATCCCTATCTAGAGAGTTTTATATTCGTATGTCTTCCCCAAATCTTAATTTGAGAATTACAAGGGACAAAGATAAGGAAATTCTAATAAAACACATAAGAAATCATTATCTTTTGGGTATTCAGATGATTCTTCCAGCCTGGCGGAAATTTTCTGAGGATCGCATGTACTGGTCAGGATTCCAATCCCTGTTGTCCAGCGATGAAGATGTACGTCATTCTGCACTTTATAACCTGTTCAAGTGCATGCGCAGGGATTCACGTAAAGTTGACATGTACAGCAAGATCCTGGCGTGCCGAATCAGCGACGAGTGCTAAATCCACATCCATCCCACCCAGCTCTGAGATGGTGCTAATGATTTATACCTTAGCAAGCTTCTTTGAAATTTACGGCTTTTTCATGCATGCTCTGTGAAATGGGTCTCCTCTTAAAAGAATAAACACAGACTCTGTAGAGATGTCAAAATCTAAGAGGGTAGTTTGTTAACATTTCTATTTTCATTTAATCAAAAAACAAAAGAAAATCCACCCGTACATTTGAGAGAATGAAGGTCCTTTTAAAATTAGTCACAAATAGTAGAAGTTGGCATTACAAAGAAGATCATTAAGAGATAACGTAAGAATCACAGAAATTTGTTCTGAGTCAAGTTATTAGAACCAAAGAATTAAATAATTGTTCATGGTTCTAGCCATGCTACCAAGAAGACTGAATTCTCACGATTCTTTATGAAAGCCAGCCGCGAACAGTCAGCCAACTGTCACAGTGTTACACCAGACAGGATCAGTGCTTCACACCTTTGTACAAATAGCATGAGGTTTACTGAACTGTCTGAAGATTGTTAGGATGCTGTCTTAGACCTTCTGGGTTGCTATAACAAAATATCACAGACTTAAAACCAATGGAGATGGATTTCCACCTCGTGGTCACGCAGGGTCCTTTCTGGTCTCACACTCCTTATTGTATCCTCACACGGGGGGAGGGCTCGGGAGCTCTGTGTGTCTCTTATATAAAAGCACTCATCTCATTGAGGAGGCTCCATCCTTATAACTCCATCACCTCACAAAGGCACCATCTATGGATGCCATAACCATGGGAATCAGGATTTCATCATGTGAAATTTCTGGTGGACACAAAGTTGAGACCATCGGGATACAAACGTGAACTGGTTCCATCCTCCTCCCGTGGCTGTCTTCACACACACTCCACTGCATCCTCATTTTCTGCATCACCTTGCAACCATTCATTACATTCTATCACTCTCGGTTTCACAAAGTCAGGTCAGTCAAGTGTCAACTCCATCTCATATTCAGCCTATTCAATGTTTCCCTCTCCCCTGCTGAGGCCCAGGGGACCTACCAGGAAGCATCAATGTGTCCATTTGTGCAAGGTTCCTTCTCTCTCGTTCTCTGGATCTTCATTCCTTGGGCCATGTTGGAACAGGGTAGATGGTAACGAGATGGGAAAGTTCTGATATCACTGACTTACATGTTGCTCTTGTAGCCTTCTCTTGGTCCATATGGACTGATCTGAAATTCCCCCTGACTGACAAGTGTTTATCTTATGGGGTATCCTTGTGATTATCCAGGACATTCACAAGTTGGGGATCCCCAACGCCGTAGTGTCCTTTTTAATCAGGGGAACTGTTCTGGTACCCACAGCTCACCAACTGCAGTCATCACCACAGCCTCTCTGTTTCCCTCACTCTGCAAACACCATCTGGAGAAAATTCAGTAGCCCACAGTCAGCTGCCTACTAGCTGACCCACAGGAAACCCATGTATCATACACACTCTGAACCATTGAATGGCAGAAATACTGGTGTGCATCTGTCTCTGCCTGGGGCCTCAGGACAAATGTCCAACTGGTCATATAGATACCAAGTAGGTCAGAAAGCTGGATTTAAAAAAACGTTTATCTGAGAAGTGAGATACTATTCTCTCTTCCTTTTAGAGTAATAACCCTTGTCAGTATTTATTGGCTTTCCACACAAGCCCTAGTAGGTCCCTGAATTATAAAATCCTCCCAATAGACTAAGTCTCTACTGAGACTGGAGCAGTGTGACTGGATTAGGGTTGCTCAGCTTGTTCAACAGCCTCCAGACAACCTGGGATGAGGGCCAATCTCTTGACTGGCTCTCCTAAGAAGTCAGTGATGTTGCTGGGCTGGTTGTGCAGCATCTTTACGGCTTTAACAGTAATTCCTAGTAAACAGAAAATGGGAAATCAAAAGGTAGATGGGAAAGGGAGATAAATAAGAGAGAAGGAAGAGAAAGACAGAAGGAAGGAAGAGCAGCAAAAGGAAAGTGAGTCAAGGACTTGGATAGTGAAGGATGAAAAGATGTTAGAACACTGCATTTTTAAGGACCCAAATACATACACACATACACACACACACACACACACACACACACACATAGTAAGAGCAAATGTATCATATTTCCTTTTATTTCCATTTTCACTTCTCCCCTCTTTTTCCTGAAATTGTCCTTTATATTAGGAGAATTCTTTCGTTGTTACTAAAGGTCATAGTTCTGTAAATGAACAAAGCCTGGCAAGTCTTCAGGGCAGA